GGGGAATAGGATGCAAGATCAGCAAGGATGAGGCAGGGAATACAGTTTCTCACTAGAAGCCTTTTTATACTATTTGACTTTTGCTTATGTTTGTATACTACTTAGTATAGATTAAATTGTTAATTTAAAAAAGTAAAAAAAGTAATGAAGAGTGCATACAAAAAGTACCTGTAGTTTAGTCAAACTTACCTAGAAGAACTAACTTCTGCAGAGTCTCAGAATGATCCACATAGTCTCGAAGTGTGAATGAAGCTGGTGGCAATGGAGGGTCTGCAATAATCTGAATAGCCTCTTCCTCTGAAATTGGCTGCATTGGAGACAATGGAGGCAATTCATCCAGTTCTTTGAAAGAGAGAAACAAATTAGTGCTCTAATATGCACACTTAAAACTATTTCTACAAAGACCGGCTCTTCCCTTGTTTGCTTCTTTCAATAGTTAAATCTCGGGATGATTTTAGAATTAAACATCCAAGAAGACCCCAATTTTTCACCTTTTAAGAGGTAAGGTTACAACTATTTAGACAGACTAACTACTGTTCCCCCAAGATTAGAAATTTGTTGGTAAATTTTAAAGCACACAATGCCTTTCCTTCACTTAATCAGTAGGTGAGAATGCTAAAGATTACCTAACTTTCAAGCGCATTTTGAAAGAGATTGAGTTTACCATAGCCTGTTAACTTGGCCTAAAGTACACATATGCCAACAGTCTGAATTGCATGGATTAAAGTAATTATATCCTGAAAGTCTTTGTTTTGACCCAATGCCCTTCCCTTCAAGTTACCCTCAAATACATCTTTAAGAGGGCTTCTATGATTGTTTCTACAACCTGTAGTCCTCTCTACAGGAGATGTGACTCTCTCTAGTACGGCGCTGATTCTGAAGTTGTTTTTGTTTTTTTAAAATCAAACGCAGTATGGAAGACACTTAGAACTACACAATACCTTAAGCTAAGGAATCAGGTCTGTGATTTCTTGTTCTGTTTTTTGCCTCTAATCATTAACTAGCCTTTCTCATCATTTATAGCCAGCATCTCCTCCCTGCCCTCTCCCCAGCTCTCTTTCCTTCATATTCTACTTAACCTTATATTATTTCATTACCAGTGAAATATTCCTAGAATAGGACCCATAGGAAGGAGAGGACCGACTAAAAAGCGATATGAGGGCACTTTCTGGAGTAATATAACTGTTTTATTTGTTGATTGCAGTAGTTGTTAGACACTAAATGCGTATGTCAAAATTCATAGAACTATATATCCCACAAGATGAATTTTACTTGATATAATTATACCCTAATAAAACTAATTACTAGAATAATTTTGTTTTAAGAATCTAAACAACAAAGTATTTAGAAAGCAAATGTTTTATATGTGTAACTATAAAATAATCTTACACGTTAGCCCACGAACTTTTTTTCTTAGCCAGTAAAATAAAGGCATGATAGAAGTTCATCAATAGAACCGGTATTATTCTTTTTCTTTCTTGATACAAAATATTACCTGAAATGGGCTAGCAGAATGTAAACAGGTAGCTTGTTCAAATAGCCAAAGTAGAGAAAGGGAGACTTTTCTGAAAGTTCAGAATTACCTTCTAGAAACAGCTCAGAATCAAAGCTGGGTATCTTTTGTGTCTTCTGCGGCTGTTCATTCATGGAAGGAAGCAGACTGCTTTGGGTAGAATTATTCTCTTGACTACTTGAGCTAGTAGACTGGGAACTATTCCATAAGGAGGAAGTCTTGTAAGTCTTAAATCCCCACTGGAGAAAGCAATTGTCAGAGGATATCTGAGGCTGAGCAGAAAAGCCATGTAACAGTGTTCTTCCTGGTCTAGTAAAACATTTTGTGAGTTGTGCAGCATTAACGAGGCTCCTCAACTTAGCTGAGTTAAACCACCTGGGTATCTGTTGGGCTGACAAAGCCATTTTTCTTAGTCTACAAAGGAAAGATATAACCGTCAAAAGAAGAGAAATTTAATTTACTTAAATGTTTAAAACAGTATTCAAACAACAAAAAAATAAACTGGAAATTGTTTTTTTCTAAATGAAAGGTGTTTAAATATAGTTAGTCTAAAATAGTGAGATGTTTCTTATGCACAGGAAAGTCCAACAACAAGGCAATCTCAGTTACAAACCAATAGACTTTGGGTAGAATTATTCTCTTGACTACTTGAGCTAATAGACTTCTGAGTGGAAAATAAAGATATACTTTACAATTTAAAAACAATGCAACATCACTGGTGTAAGAAAAATGCTTAAAACAAAAATCTGCAAATGTTCAAATGACAGCAGACCTCACTAATCTGTTAATTTAATCATTTAAAGAGAATAAGCTGATGCAATTAAGTGTTCTTGAAATTTGGTGTGAAGGATGTTTCTGCAGCAGATTGCTGATCAAAGTAACACTGAATTATTCAAATGCATTTTATATTTTATGTATATAAATTTGTCCCAAAATGAAAAAACAGAAATCTACTGTGTCCTAAATGAATCATCAAATTATTATTATTGATATATAGAACAGTGAAAGCAGTTTCTTGCTTCATTCTCAGGGCTGAACACTGTTGATTACTTCACAGATAAAGCTGTTCTTCCAAAGGGAATTGAACAAAACCAGTTTTGTCAAGTTTTGTTTCACTGTAGGAAAGAAGAAAAAAGCCTTCAAAAAGAAAAGGTCAAAACTAGCAAACAAAACCAAGTAACAGAAATAAATAAGCAACCAGCAATTAATACCTGTATATTTTGACTGAAAAAGTAGTTTTCAAAAAGATTTTTATCAGGAAAGGCTAGTGCTATGTTAAACTCCAGGAATATGAAGGGATTTATATTTAGCCAGCTAATAAGAAAGGTAAATTTGATGCATATAATCTTACATTAAATAACATTATCCATATAAAACACAGGATAGAGTCAGGATATAAGAAATGCTCAATAAATGTTAGCCATTATTATTGATTACACAACCAAATACAAATGAATTCTGCTGAATTAATTGCGGTCTACAACTTTATACTTTGTTTTTCTACATAGTGGAATTCGGCTTGTTTTATGCTCTAAATTAGACCAAATACTTGGAATACTTGAGGGTCTAATCTCCTCTTGGAGATGCGTAGTTTTGGGAAGTTTGCTGAAAGAGATTTTACGAAAGTGAAAGTGTCCTTTCATCCTGCAATTATTTATTATTATTACTTATTTATTTATTTTTGAGACGGAGTTTCGCCCTTGTCGCCCAGGCTGGAGTGCAATGGCACCATCTCGGCTCACTGCAACCTCTGTCTCCCGGGATCAAGCGATTCTCGATTCTCGGCAGCTGCCTCAGCCTCCCGAGTAGCTGGGATTACCCGTGCCCGCCACTAAGCCTGGCTACTTTTTTGGACGTTTATAGAGATGGGGTTTCACCATGTTGGCCAGGCTGGCCTCGAACTCCTGATCTCACGTGATCCACCCACCTCGGCTTCCCAAAGTGCTGGGATTACAGGTGTGAGCCACTGCGCTCGGCCCATTTTGTGATGATTTTAGAAAAGAAATAAGTATTTTTGCGATGATTTTAGAAAAGAAATAAGTATTCACAATAACCTGCTGGGATAGGTGGTTTCTGTCAGATTTTGGTAGGAAATGGGCTTCCAAATGTGCCAAGTTTTCCCTCAAACCTACAACATTCATTCTCTGCACAGAAGTCATAAGGGCACTAAATTGGAAGCCAGAAGACCTCGGTTGTGCTACGTTGACAAGGCTGTTTCTGGCAGCAGTCTAACAAAATGTCTAGCCCATGATGTGGGGTGGGTGTGGGGTCAATAACCATTCTTCAAATAATGCTTTTTTAAAAGGCTAAGGGTACAATACGATGATTCGTAAGGCCCCTATCAGCTCTAACATTTTTTGACGTCTAAGCACTTCATCCTACTTCAAACTTCCGAAATCCCAAATTCATCCTGAAGCCTTTCCACACTCAATATCCCTTAAACATCAGGAAGATTCACTTTCAAATTTCATCCCGTCATTAAAAGATCTTTGTGCATACAACTAATGTTTATCCTTGCATTTTTATTTACAAGTGCACTATCTTCTCCACATTATTTCATTGCTGCCTAAACATCTTAACAATTGATTAATTGTTCATTCACGAGAGCAAGGCTGGGTCTCATCCCTGGATCCACCCTTCCAGGGACTATTTTCCACTCTCCCAGAGCCTTGTACTGCTCTAATGCTTGCGGAATGGAAATAAATCAATGGCAAGTACAGTTAACTCACTGGCTTACATAGTATGCAAAAGCGGGTAGGGGATAAGCAGATGTGTATAAAAGCCCTGTGAGGTGGTAACCGGAAGTCTTCTAACAAGTTCCTTTCATCAGGAAAATTACAGAAAACCCTTAAAGAAACTCTGAAGTCTATTAACAATTCATATATACGGTTCTCAGTGAGTGCCTAGTGCTTCGCTAGAAAAAGGCACTGAAATAGGGTTCAAGATTTCTACCTAAGAAAGGCTATAAATGAAATCAGGAAAGAAAGGGAGGTATGGGGGTAGCTTCCTAATAAAGGGCCTCTCAATACTTCCTAGGCCATTTTAGCCCATTTCAGTTCCCCCAAACTTCCGCAGGAAGGCAGAGCCCCCTCCTGAGGCTTCTCACACCGCGCTAATTAGTCACCATGGTTGAGTTTTCACGCCAGCCAGGGAAAAACACAAAACAAAACCAATCACCTTCGACTGGGCCGCGAAAACCTAAAGGCCCTTGAGGCCTTGGGGCGCGGTCTGGACGCAGGTGCGCCGGAACCTGAACTCCTGCCAGGACCGCGATCCTCGCGCTGAGGCAGCTCCTGCTTTACCTGTGGCGAGGCCTGCGCCCCGTAGCGGGTGACCCCGGGACCGACCGACTCGCAGGGCCGCACGCCCAGTCCAGCAGTGCCGCACGCCGGCTCCTCAGCCTGCCCGGCCAAGCGCAGCCGCGCTCCCCGGCCCACGTGGGCTGCGGCCGGAGTGGGCGAGACCATGTGCCGGGTTGCGTGGGGAGACAGCGGGCTACGTGCGCGGAAAAGAGTCAGCCAGGGGCAGCAGATAGCCTTCTCCGCTCGCCACTCCCTTGAAGTCCTGTGGACTTGGAGTCTGAAGGCTTCTCGAGTGCGTAGAGATGCCTCAGCCGGGATGACAGCGTGGGGACGGCCGGCGGCGCCCCCTGCCCCAGGCCGCGGTGGCGGCGCCGCGACCCCGCCCTCTAGCTCCTGTCCTTCCCTCCGCTCCTAGCCTTTGCTGGGCGCCAGACCCGGCTTCGCCGTCCGGCTATTAGCCGACTGTGGCTAGTCACCCCCGGGGTCCCGGCCTCCGCGGGCTGGGGCCGCCGCCACCGCGGCAGGACGGGGAGGCGGGCCATGGCGTCCTGCGTGGGGAGCCGGACCCTAAGCAAGGATGATGTGAACTACAAAATGCATTTCCGGATGATCAACGAGCAGCAAGTGGAGGACATCACCATTGACTTCTTCTACCGGCCGCATACCATCACCCTGCTCAGCTTCACCATCGTCAGCCTCATGTACTTCGCCTTTACCAGGTGGGGCGGCCGGGCCGCGCCGGGGGCGCGTCCAAGGGCTAGGCAAGAGGCGGGAGGCAGGGTGGCGGGGAGGGTGGCCCGGCATGGCTTTGGGTGAGGAAGCGGGCTGGCTGCCCCACTCACACGTATTGGCAGCCCGCCGCCTACGCAGCCCCTCCGCCCGCCCGGTGTCTCACAGTACGCTAGCCTGCTCCCCCACCCCTCAGGGCCCCTTCTCCATACAGCACCTCCGGTTACACGGTGAACGCACGCGAGTCACCTAGCACGATCACCCCCCCACCCACCGCACTCAGCATGGCTCCACACAACATCACGACGCGGGCCCCTCCTCTGCACCGTTCCAGCCCCCGTCCCTACCCAGCACACCGCATGAATCATCTCGTATGCACCACTTTCAGCACACACCGCTACACATATAAAGCACCCCAATCCACAGCGCCTACAGGCACCATACACAGGCCCAGGACACAGCCTAGATCCCTTCCTGGGGAACTCCGGTATTCGGCACTATCCGTAACACATAAAAAATGCACATGTGTGCTACATACACGGTCTTTCCTGTGCAGCACTTCCCGTATGCATTGCACACAAGTCATCCATCCAGCATAACCCTTCCCCCAGCCTCAAACACTACCTTCTGTACCACGGCACAAACTGCCACTCTAAACACACACATCACAGCGGACCTTTCCTTTCCAGCACAGCCCAATACCCATCATCTGGGTACATGGCTGCACAGACACCAGCCCACCACACAGCACGCAGTGCATACCCTGCTCACTCATTTCCTAACATACGTGCTGAAATGTGATCCTGTCCAGCAATTTTAATGGTGCCTGGTGTATACTAACTGCTGTGTGTTAAATGAAACACATAAACCTCGCACAGCATAACACATCTCTATTATTCCCCGGAATACGTACACACACATTCTAATATATACCTGTTCAGAAGAGCTGCGCAGCCCAAATCTTGAACACACCTCATGTAACTCTGTGGCACTGCGCCTGTGGCCCCTTATTCCTAACCTAGGGAACTAATTCATCCTTGGTTCATAAGGAGGTACACACCGTGGTTCCTACTTAGAAGGATTTATACTTTTCGAATGAACCTCTTTAAAGAAAGGGAAGTCACGCCTCCCTCACCATTATGGCTTAAAAGGCCAACTTAGAGTAGTGTAGTTTTTGAGCCATACTGTTGTTTTCAAACCTGGCTGTGTGTCCTTAGTTAAGTTGCATAACCTTGCTCTGAGCCTCAGGGGCCACACTTGTAAAATGGGGATGAAATATACACTTATATAGGTTTATGAAAATTAAATGAATGTGTGTGAATGCGTTTAGCGGAGTCCCTGGAGCACAATGTACAATTCATGTCAGTTACTTCTCTCCCAGCAATTTTATCCGGCAATCAAGGTCCTCTGTGAGGGTCAGCAGAACATGTGCAGGGATATATATATATATATTGGGTAGTCACAAGGATTGAGAGAACTTCTAGTATTTGGGAGGGGGAACAGTTAAAGGATACTAAATGTATTGTGACATATGTGACAGCGCTATACAACATAAAGTGAATTGTCTTCTACACAGTCGTTTGCGTACACACGCACAAGTGCCGGTGGTGCCTCCCTTGGGAATAACTGCAGTTTTTCAAATCCTCATAAAACTAGTATCTTCCCACATCACACTTTTTCCTTACCTCTGAGATTCACTTGACTCTTGGTTCTTGTTATGTAAGTGTTTATCCTTTTGAGACAATCTACCTAAAGGTATAAAGCTTAACAATTACTTACTCTTTAATGATTGAGGGATCTTGCCACTATTACTATAAAATCTGCTAAGGCTGTGCAGCAGGATAAGACCAGACCTTTCCACAGTACCTGACCAGACATATTTCTAGCTTTGGAGAGAAATTAGTCATGTCCCTAACTATGGTTACTTTCAAATACTTCATTATGTTGCCTGATTTTATCTTTTAATAGCTGTGTGGCCACATACTTTTGCTAGGCCTCAGTTTCCTTATCTATGTGTAAAATGAAAATATCAATACATTAATCTGTCAGGATTATCTGTCATGAGGATTAAGTTCATCTTTTTAGATAATCTGTGTTTAGCTCAGTGCATGGGAAGTATTAAGTGCTTAATAAACATTAGTGGTTATTATGATGTGATTTCATTGTATGCTACTGTCTTCTAAGTTATATTTGTTATTGAATGAGGATGTCATATGCTCTGTAATTGAGAAGGATAAAAGCATTGGAAAAATGGACATTAGGTAACATACATACCTGTTTCATGTTAGCTTCAGTTTAATTTCATCTTATGTGTGGGTTTGAAATAATGAAATTAGTGAGGGAGTTTTTCTGGAAATTAGAAAAATAATTATGGTATTTTGTTTTAAATAATGATTCTAGGCCCTTAAATAGATTTCTCTTCCTCTATTCTGATATAAAAAGTCACATTCTTCTGAAATTTCTTTTTACATCATATTCTGTCAAGGCAGTCAATAAATTGCAGCAGTGAAAGTATAAGAATTGAATATGAATTTTAACAGCTTGTCCAAAATAATAGAAGAACCATAATCTGAACCTCAGACTGTGGCTTTGTCCAAAAATGTTAACAATTTTATTTCTTCCACTAATTTCATAAAGAGACAGAAATCACATAATGAATTAATAACAAGTTTCACTTTATATAAAATCATAAGCACCATTAATAGAATTAGTACTTACTCAATCTTATTCATTTTTTGTAATGATTTGTGACTCTTAAGTGGGGCATTACAATGATAGCTCTATCTTCCTCCATAAAGATGGAAAGTAACGACTTCTTAAATGAGAATTTATCCTATGCTCTTTTGTAATGATTAACTCCAGTACCTTATATTTATTTTATAATGATTTTAGTTGGACAATTGTTCAGTGCAATTCTTTCAGTAAAACTTAAAAAATATGTCTTAAAGTTTGTTTTGCAAAGACTAGTTGTCTAAGAGAACAAGGAGATAGGATACTTTTGGGATGTCATATAACGAGTATGTGAGAAACAGTGCTTGGGTACTGTCTCATGCTTCAGAGATCCAGCAAGAATTAAAGATTACAGAGGATTATACCTTGCACTGAAGTCTGAGACAAGTGTGGATTTGTCAAGTAATTCTTTTGTTAGATGGCCCTTAGGCCAATTCCCTGTTAAACCACAGTGTTTAAATCTCCTGTCTTTATCACCATCTTTAAAAGTAAAGTTAGATACTACCTAATCATTTTCCTATTTGAAAAAGCTCATTTCTAGCCTGGGCAACATGGTGAAACCCTATCTCTACAAACAAAACAAAACAAAACAAAAATTAGCTGGGCGTGGTGGCATGCACCTGGAGGCTGAGGTAAGAGGATCACCTGAGCCTAGGAGGCAAAGGTTGCAGTGAGCTGTGATCATGCCACCATACTCCAGCCTCTACCCTACTCACTCAACAGAGTGAGACTCTGTCTCAAAAGAAAACCAAAAACTTATTTTCCCACATTTTAGAATAAGTAGGCTGGGCACAATGGCTTACACTGGTAATCCTAGCACTTTGGGAAGCCAAAGTCGGAGGATTGCTTGAGGCCAAGAGTCCAAGATCAACCTGGCTAACATAGCAAGACCCCATCTCTATTAAAACATAAATAGTATTTTTATAAATAAATGCTTATGCATATGTCTTAGAAGTTGGTTAGCCAAAGTAGGGCAAGGAAACGTTTTGTCTCAAGCTCAGAGTATAATAATTACCTTTAAGATACCCTCATATTTACTCTGCATTCAGATGTTGGTAAACTTGGAAATACTGAGTGCCTTTAGTTTGAAAAACTCAAGCTTTAGATTTAGTAAACACCAGAATCTATTAATTCACATTCAAAGAAGCCCACCTCACCTTAAGAGGCACCTGCCATTAAACAGTAGAATCAGCCTTTGTTAGCACTTGTCCAACAAAAATGGTTACTTACCTAGAGGAGATTGCCTTTCTGCGGATTTGGGTACTTAAGTGATCATCAATTTGTCTATGCTTCATTTCTCCTCGATTTAGAACTAAGGAGACAGACAAGGACAGGGAAATGGACAGACAGACCGACTGATTGATTGATTGATTGATTTGTTAATAATGATATTTACTTAATTTCCCTTATTGGCTTTGGAAATCCAGTTCACCATCATATCATTGGGGCGTACTTCTGGCCACCTGTATTGCATTGCTTATGGATACTTGCTAGCCTTCCCTTTTCTTTCCCTCTTGACCACATAAATTACCAGTAGAAAATGTCCCCTAATACTGCTGATTCAGTTGTTTTGATCCTGTTTCCTTTGTATACATCATGTTCCTTCTCTCCCAGCAACAAAAGTCCTGCATGCCCTTGTTCCCTGACACTAGCAATGTTAAGTGCTAACTAGCCATTATGGGCTAGGAGTAAACCAGCCCTGGAGGTGAACATTGTGTCAGGTTGCACCTGAGGTCCAGTTATCAATGATTGTTAACATTTCTTTTCCCTGGTTACTATTTGAATTAAATTTTTTATTGAATTTAATGTTTTATATTTTTTCTTATACTTGTTTCCAGAGTTTTATGTCCATAGTACAATTTCTAATTTATTAAAGGGGGGGAAATGTACCATATATTTCTTTGGGGTCTTCTGCAGTGAATGGGTACTTGGGTGACTTAAATATTTATTTGGCTTAGATGATGCCTCAGCCCACAGAGATTATATACCTAGGAACTGCTGCCTTTCAGACTCCTCTTTAGTAAGCAGTTCATCTGTTGTGAATAAACTGTGTTTAGCATTTTAGATGTAGTTCTATTACCAGATGGAACACAATTAATCTTGTGACATCATTCCTATTGCCCCAGATTTCTGTAGAGAAGTTACAGTTTTTCAGTCTTAACAAATCCCAAAACCAGGACTAGTCCAGTCAGCCTGCACTGCTTCCTCAGCCCTGGCATCCCATTTACTTCAATTCAACAGTTCATAGTCCTCGTTGCTT